GGCAAAGTGGGGACCAACAGGAGGTTCAACCTTTATCTGTATGATAACCACTTGTATACCTAATCCTGAATTGTACCTCACATCTTTAAAATAAAACTAATTTTTTAAAAAGTTATATATCAAAGAAAGAAATTAAAATTATGCTATGGGTATCTTTTAATGACCTGCTAATTAATTATTGATCCTATAGACCATTTGCATTCTGTTCTTTCACAAATCAAGATGCTCCCATGGCTGTTTCCTTCCACCTTGACCATGCTTCCAAGATTGGTTATTTCCAGATGCCATTTCAGATTTATTTCTGTTTTGTGAATGGATTATTATTGTGCCCATTTCTTCTCCACCATTTTTTCAAACTGAGAGTAGAAGGTTTTCTAAATGTCAAACCAGCAAGGAAATAGTTAAATATGGAAACTAACAAAATAGTATCTAAAAATTAAAAATGATAATTATTAAAAACATTTAGCAACATTGATAAATATTTACATAAGAATGCTAAGTTTAAAAATCAGAATTCGAGCCGGGCTCGGTGGCTCAGCCTGTAATCCCGCGCCTTTGGGAGGCTGAGGTGAGTGGATTGCCTGAGCCCGCGGTTTCGAGACCCGCCTGGGCAGGCGAGACTTCATCTCTACAATAAATCAAAAAATTAGCCGGGCGTGGTGGCGCGCGCCTGTAATTCTGGCTACTCGGAAAGCTGAGGAGGAAGGATCGCCGGAGACCAGCAGGTTGAGGCTGCAGTGGCCGGGAGCGGCCACTGCACTCCAGTCTGGGCGACAGAGCGAGACTCCAACTCAAAAAAAAAAAAAAATCAGAATTCGAAATTTAACCTATATTATGAGGATGATTAAAATATATGTAGGTAAGAACTGGAAGAACTTATATACAAAGATTAGCAATTATAAATCACTAATATATCCAAATAACAATTTGAATGTGATGATGTTTGGCTGGATCGGGTATGGTGGCTTGTGGAATTTTAAAAGAGTATTACAAGGTTGGTGTTGTTGAAACATTTCCTTGTTGCTTTTTTGTGACAAGGTAGTCACAGCAATGGTGCTGCAAGGGAGGTGGGCTGCTGTAGTCATAGCACTTCAACTCTGTAGACGCACACTGAAGATTACCTCGTGAGGCTCACAGACTCTCTTGCTAATTGTAGACACAAGAGTCAGCAAGAAATTATGGAGCAAATAGATCCTGGTCAAATTATGCTATATCTTTTTGTGTCTATTGTGTCTATTGCCATGCTTTCTTCCTAAACGATAATTGTAAGCAATAAGGCAACTAATATCAATTAGTAGTGATTAAACATCAGATGTAAATACCTGATCTCCATTATTATTTGTTCCCTAACTTTTAGAAGAATTAAACTGTAGTTTCATTAAATATGAAGCCCAATTTACGATTACCTTTTTTTTTTTTTTGAGTTGGAGTCTCACTCTGTTGCCCAGACTGGAGTGCAGTGGCTGCTCCCGGCCACCACAGCC